CCCCTCTGTTCCCTTATTCAAAACTGGCACCTTTCTAACCTCAGGACCAATAAGCCATTGTTAAGATTTTTTTCTACCTATTTGTTAATATCGAATACCTTTCCAGTTCTGTGTGCCAAACCTAAGATTTTGTTTTGTCATTTAAAATATAAAGTACTTGATCTCATACTGCTCTCTTATTAAAGGCACACTCTTTAAAGTCTTTAATGGCTTAAAGATTAACATAGAATTTTTTTGGCTATATATCTCTTAGGGTTAAAATGGAGATTCAATTTAACTTAAAATACTGGAAGATTGTGGTCATTTTTTTCCACTCTTAAATTGACTATATTGTATTTTATTCATTCACTGAATTATATTTTCATATACTTAAAGTTCTAAAGTTATTTTTTTTTTAATTTTTTTTCAACGTTTATTTATTTTTGGGATAGAGAGAGACAGAGCATGAACGGGGGAGGGGCAGAGAGAGAGGGAGACACAGAATGGGAAACAGGCTCCAGGCTCTGAGCCATCAGCCCAGAGCCTGACGCGGGGCTCGAACTCACGGACCGCGAGATCGTGACCTGGCTGAAGTCGGACGCTTAACCGACTGCGCCACCCAGGCGCCCCTAAAGTTATTTTTTTAAGATTTTATTTTTTAAAGATCTTTTTTAAAAATTTATTTATTTATTTTGAGAGAGAGACAGCGTGAGTGGGGGAGAGGAAGAGAGAGAATCCCAAGCAGGCTCTGCACTGTCAGCACAGAGCCCAATTCGGGGCTTGAACTCACAAACTGTGAGACATGACCTGAGCTGAAACCAAGAGTCAGACACTTAACGGGCTGAGCCACCCAGGTGCCCCAAGATTTTTCAAAGTAATCTGTACATCCAACATGGGGCCCAGATTCACAATCCTGAGCCCAAGAGTCACATGCTCCACTAACTGAGCCAGCCAGGCGCCCGTAAAGTTACTTTCTAAAATTTATTTTTTTCTGCACCTACAGTGAGCCCTTTTGCTTTTATATCTTATATCCAGCCAGGTCCTTGGTTTTTTTTCTGGAACGTGAACTAAGACAGTAACTCAGATTTATATACTTTTTTCTTCAGTATTTTATTTATTTAGTTTCTAAAAATACTGTTTTTAACATGCAAGATCCCCTTTTTTCCTATTCCAGCTGAGAGTGGATTATCTCTTACTGCATGCAGAGGTAGTCTTTTACCTCAACTACATTTTCCTTTTCCTTCTGCAGGTCAATTCTTAGGATTCTAGTACAATTTTTTTTTTTTTAAGGGCAAAACAAATAAAATGAAAGTGATCACCTAATGAGAGTCACAAGTAGATTTGGGGTAGGCAAATCTAGAGCTCCTTATTTGCATACAGTGTTTGGTCCACTTAAAAAAATAGTACTTTTTCTTTGTATTTTTCAAGAATCATATCCTGGACTTATGACAGTGGTGTTGCTTTTTTAGCTCTTGGCGGAAATCCATTTTCAGTAACAACCAATTTTAGATTGGTTAATGATGTTAACTTTTTATTTTTTCAGAGTTTTAAATACTTTTTTTTTTTTTTTTTTTTTTTTTTTTTTTTTTTTTTAAGAATGGTTTCAGATGGGGCGCCTGGGTGGCTCAGTCGGTCAAGCGTCCGACTTCAGCTCAGGTAATGATCTCACGGTTCATGAGTTCGAGCCCTGAGTCAGCCTCTGTGCTGATGGCTCAGAGCCTGGAGCCTGCTTCGCATTCTGTGTCTGCCTCTCCCCCAATCACATTCTGTCTGTCTGTCTGTCTCTCCCTCAAAAATAAACAGAAAAAAATTTTAAAAATGGTTTCAGATTTACAGAAAAAATGGAAAGATGGTATAGAACATTTGCATATGTTCTGCACTCAATTTCCTCTGTTATTAACATCTTACATTATCATGGTATACTTGCCATGATTAAAAATCCATTACTGATACACTGTTAACTACACTCCTTAGTTTATTCAGATTTCCTTAGCCTTTATGTACTGTGTTTTTCTGTTCCAAGACTGCAACCTGGATACATTACATTCAGTTTTCCTATCTTCTTAGTCGCCTCTTTGCTGTGGTACTTTTTTTTATGTTTGTTTATTTATTTATTTTGAGAGAGAGTGAGAGAGCGTGTGCTCGAGCTCAAGGGAGAGGCAGAGAGAGAGGGAGAGAAGAATCCCACTCAGGCTCCATACTATCAAGCCCAGAGCCCGATGCGGGCTTGATCTCATGAACCATGAGATTATGACCTGAGCTGAAATCAAGAGTCGGATGCTTAACTGCGCCACCCAGGTGCCCATGCTGTGGCACTTTTTTAGACTTGTTTATGATGACCTTAACAGTTTTGATGGTAACTTTTCTTCTTTTGTTTATTGAGGTATAATTGACATTATTAGTTTCAGGTGTAGATATTAACTTTAACACAGGAATAACACATAATATCTAAAATGGCATATAACACAACGTATAATCCCTGACCTCCATACTTCCTAATATGCTGCCTAGAGTTTACTGGTTAATTTAACACTTAATGAAAATACAATTCTAGGAAACCTTTCTTTTCTCTTATTAGACAAAAGGCTAAATTCTTTCTGTTCATTAATAGGAAAGTCTTGACTGCTTTTTTTCAGTGTTGGGAAACCTGAATTAGGAAGTTTGTCACATGACCAGAAAAATATAAGGACAGAATAAGCTAATCAGCACCACCTGTCGCAACCCCTCCCCCAACTCCAAGTGGATTGGATTGTTTTAGTTGCTTAGTTGGGCTGTTCACTAACAGCTGTTTGCTGAATATTTTTAAGTCTCTCTGTTCTTTTAGAACACAAGCCTAATTTATCTGGCCTCTCAGTAACACTGTGATTACTGAGTTCTTGCTGTTGCCTTCTGCTCAATCTTTTTCATTTTGGAAAAACTGAATAAAACCAAGTATCACAATTTTAGGATGGCAATTAGCATTTGTTTCTGCATTTCATCTTTTTGAAGTCTCTACAGTGACTAAAACATTCTCATTTTTGGAGTTTAGCAATATGAGGAAAGCACAGAGCATAAAGTTCTCAGGCTGATGAGTAGAAGTCCCTCCCTTATTCTTCCTTTCCTTGCATGCTCCAAGCCGAGGTTCTATAAAGTCTAACTATAATGTGACTTCTTCAACAAATATACTAGAGTGACTATACCCGAGTGAGTTGTTTCCCAGAGTGATCGACCTGGAGGACCATACATTTATTTCAGTAAAAACTGCCTTTGCTAATGTGATCAGAATTTTCATTTTGGATTGCTGATTTTATCTTTTGGCACGTTATTTTGACTGCTGTGTCATGGTAAATTTACATCTTTTAGGGATAAATTTGACTTTCAGAAGTGTTAACAAGTCAGCAAAAAAGGGAATAAGATGTCAGGGTGAAATGGGGTAATCTCTTTTTTAGACACATCTTAAATGTGAAGTAATGTGACTGATTTTCATTTTCTTGTGCAACTATACACTGGCCCTTAACACTCTCCAAAAGAATTACTCCAAAAAATATTCACAAAGTGAGAACTTGGATAGAATAAGAGTATAGAAGAGATGACCAAGTACTCTGAAGAAGATTCATATGCTCATCGTAGCTTGTAGAAACATTCTCGGTGCTTGATATCAACCTTCAGTGCATCAGAATTTCCTGTAGAGCCAAGATAGATAGATGAGTAGACAGATGCATGCCTAGGCTTCATCCCATTCTTAACTAATCACAATCTTTGGGATTGAGGTCCAGGTGGGTATATTTTCAACAATTATATCAGAGCTTTTCTGAGAGCCGTCCCCTCCCCCCCAAATTGACCATTGCTTTAACTTCTATTTAATGTACTCCTTGGGGTATGGACTTTGCTATTTCATACATAATATGATTTTTAAGTAGAACATACTTGCCTCTGTTAAGACACATGCGTCTTATCTCACAGAAACAAAGAGGGGTGCCTGGCTGGCTCAGGTGGAAGGGCATGCGACTCTCAGTCCAGGGTTGTGAGTTCAAGACCTACATGGGATATAGAGATTACTTAAATAAATAAAACTTAAAAAAAAAAAAAACCCAAAAAACAAAAGGGTATTCTTATTTCCTTCAAAAGCATCCTTTTTTATTGAGCTGCTGCTTCAAGCCATCTGTACTTTGCATACCATTTGTTACAATTTATTTTTTTTTTAAGTTTATTTATTTTGGGAGAGAGAGAGAGAGAGAGAGAGTGCACATGAGAGAGAGAAGGAAAGAGAATCCCAGGCAGGCTTTGTGCTGTGACTGTGGAGCCTGATTGGGGCTCAAACTCATGAACCATGAGATGATGAACTGAGTGGAAATCAAGAGTCAGATGCTTAACCGACTGAGCCACCCAGGCACCCCACAACTTACTACTTTTATCAGTCTCTCCCACTAGAATGAAAGCTCCATAAAGGCAAGGACCATGTCTGTTTTACTTTGCACTATGTCTGCAGCATAGTGGCTGACCCATCGCAGGTACTCCTCAAGAATAAATGAGTGGATCAGAAATAAATGTGCAAAGCTGATAAGCCATGATTTAAAGTAGACCTGAAGCTGAACTTGCTTGATATCCAAATATAATTCTATATATCACAACAAGTATTTATTGAATTGTGATTTGGAATGCTAAACAGAGTCAGATGACTTAAACACAAATCCCAGCTCTACCATTTACTAGTTTGACCTTGAGCTTGTTACTTGACCTCTTATTGTAGGTTACCTCATTTGTAAGAAAAGATGGTTAATCTGAAGGATCCCTAGAGTTCTTTCCGTCCCTGAAAATTCTTTGATTCTAAGTGTCTGGTATTATGCCAGGCATGATAGCTGATTCCAAAAGAAGCCTTCTTAAGGACTTGTGTTAAGCTGTTTAAATGTATAGTTTACTAGTTAATTAGATGACTAGGGCTGAATTTCAAGTGAATTCCTGAGTCTATAGTCCCATCCATAGTCCCATGCCCAACGACAAGAATAAACACAGTAATATTAAGTGTTTTTAATAAGAACAGCATGCTAACTCCTTCCTACTCTGTAAGAAGGGAGTGTTTTTGTAGCTGTGAAATAGACAACTTTTCCCATGTGGCAGAGTGTTTTGTTGTGCTGACTGGGAAGAAGGAAAGTTAGGAGAGTGTGAAAAGAGAAAAAAGGCAAAGGCTGTACATTTTTAACAGTTTTTAAATCCTCTTCACTTCTCACCCAGCACTTAGAACAAGAGAAACACGAACTAAGAAGACGATTTGAGAACCGAGAAGGGGAATGGGAAGGGCGCGTGTCAGAGCTGGAGAGTGATGTGAAACAACTTCAGGATGAGTTGGAGAGGCAGCAGGTTCATCTACGGGAAGCAGATCGAGAAAAAACACGGGCTGTCCAGGAATTATCAGAACAGAACCAGAGGTTATTGGATCAACTCAGCAGGGTAAGCCACAAGTTAAGAATTTATGGTATAAAATACTGAAAGTTGAAACCAAAGCTGCTGTACGACGTTGTTCATACATATGGTAAAAGTTTTTGTTGCCATTGGTGTTGATATCAACAAGTTGAATAATTTTCACCTATGGGAACGTCAGCTGTGTGAACTAGGAGTCAGGAACCAAAACCCTTACCTCTCATTAATCAGCTAAGAGACTTTGACAATCACTTAACTTGGGAGATTTTTCGTTTTTAAAATGAAAAGAGTTGTGCCTAATGATTTCTGACGTTTGGTATAGCTCTAAAAGTCTGTGATTCCTTTACCTAGAAAAAGTCTGTCATGGATGAAATTATGTTAATGAATTTGGTTCAGATATTAAATGGTGCCATCTTTAAACTGAAAAGCTTGGGGAAAATTAGAGCAAATGATTTTCAATGATGAAATGTGAATGTACATTTCTTCATATTATTTGAATATGAGAGGAGAAGTATATGGGTATCTGTATTTAAAATTTGTTCTTTTATATCCTAGTAAGTAAAAAATTCTCGTGCCTTTATAGAATGGTGTTATGGAAGTATTAATTAACCAGGGTCAAGACTGAAATCATTGCAGAGAGGGAGTTTGAGGGCTGAATAGGTCCAAATCTAATTTATATACAGAACATACCTTTTTAACAAATGCAGGAATGTTATTAATGCCCTGGTCTCTAAATCCACCTACTTTTAAAAATTAAGAGTGGGATTTACTATGGTACTTCAGTCCTTCTTATGTGTTGAAAATAAAACTATTAACTCTTTAGTTATCAGAAGAAGAAAGGACTTCTAGTCTGATCTCATTGTGTAGGTCATGCTTTGATCTTTGGAAAAGGCTTAGCTAGAGCAGTACATGGAAAATTCTTGGCATTTCTACTAATTCGATGGGTAACACCGTATGAAGTCATTTAGTTTGTCATAGTTGGTTCCCATGGATACTCTGAGATGGGTCAAAACCTTCATGCCTCACTAGGAAATGTGAGGTAAATGCCACAACTAGGGAAAGATACAAGAAGGAGAGGCAGAGGAGAGAATGGAAGTAGGGAGGAAGGAGAGGGAGACAGGAAGGTAGAAAGAAGGGGAAAAAGAGATACCTAATAACTTGGAAAGTAGCTAGTTGCAGGAAATATTGACACGTGTGAAAGGTAAGAATCCACATGATAGGCAGAACTAAAGGTCTTGCCTTCCCATCCTAGGAGATTAAATCACTATTTGATTGACTGGAAAGAAAGAGTTGGACAGTTCTTCAAGAAGTCACTTCAAGGCCAGTTTAGTAACAGCATTTCTGACTCTGTTCTAAAACCTTTTGCAACAACTGAGAAGGGAATCTCTATCCTTGTAAGATTTTTAAGATTTTGAGTGTTCATTATTCATGAAAGATTAAGTTAACTGGACAGGCCTACCCAGATTTATTTATTTATTCAACATTTATTTAATACTTATTTTGAGTGACTTCATGAAATCGAGCCCTGCATCAGGCTCTGTGCTGAAAGTGACGAGCCTGCTTGGTATTCTCTCTCTCTCCCTCTCTCTCTCTGTTCCCTGCCCCCCGCCAAAACATAAAATAAATAAACATTAATACTTATTCTGAGCAAGTGTTTCTTATGGAAACCTATGAAAGGAATACAGCAAACCAAAACAATTAAAGGGGAAATTATCTCTTGGGAGTAAGTTCATGTTATAAGATAACATGAGCAGAAACGACTCAATTCTGCTTTCTGATCTGGTGAAAGATAGGTGGCCAAGAGAGATGAAGGAAGAAAGCAAATATTAAACACCATGTAGCAAAAGAGCAGTGAGCTTGGAATTTAGATGCATGTTGAATCTTGACCCTGCTTCTCATTGACTGGTTCACCTTGTTTTTGCCTCGATTTTCTAATCTTTAAAATGGGGATAAAAATCTATACCTTATGCAAGTACTTTTGAAATGAAAATGAGGTAATGTGCCCGTGTTATGCTGCAGTATATGAAGGTAAGGATTTCAGTATTAATGGTTGTTTTAATAAAGCAGTATATTTATAGTTGGGGTTCCTTTGCCTAGTTTCTCTGTAGAAAATCCTGATAAGCTGTTCCCAAAAGGATATAGGGGGATAACATTTCCACTAGATCTAGATTCTTGTTATCCTCTCTGGCCTTGAATGTAGGCCCTTGGTGAGTTGTGTGGCTTTTTTTCCCTTTCTCTTTTTAAGCAGGACAAGCCCCTGGGGTTTTCCATCAACAGCCATTTTAGATTGTATTTTATTATCATTTTATTAACTGGGTATTCAGGAACCAAAGGAGTTGAGTGCTTTGAAGTGAATTAAGATTCTCATGGGACAAGATAACAACCAGCAGAGGTAGTAGAAGGCCTCGCTTTTCTTGTGATGTCTATAACATGTCTTTATAAGCGTGAAATGTATAATATTTAAAACTTAGTACAATACTTCTGTGATACTTTTGTCTGAAGTATTTTTTTAAGTTTATTTATTTATTTATTTATTTATTTATTTATTTATTTAGTAATTTCTACACTCAGCATGGGGCTCGAACTCACAAACCCCAGACCAGGAGCTGCATGTTCTGACTGAGTCAGCCAGGCACCTCTGAAATATTTTTAAGTATATTTCTTTTGCTGCCACAAACTCCAAGGTTGTTATATATATTTTTTAATTATTTATTTATTTTTTAAGTTTGTTTATTTATTTTGACAGAGTTCGAACAGGGGAGGGGCTGAGAGAGAGGGAGAGAAAGAGAATTGCAAGCAGGCTTTGTAACTGTCAGTACAGAGTCTGACCCAGGGCTTGAACTCACAAGCTATGAGATCATGACCTGAGTTGAAATCGAGAGTTGGACGCTTAACCAATTAAGCCACCCCGGTGTCCTTTTCTTTCTTTTTTTTTTAATAACCGCTCTAATTGAGATTAATTCATATACCATAACATTTACTTTTTAAAGGTATAAAAATTCACTGAGTTTTAGTATATTCACAAGGTTGTGGAACTCTGAACAGTATCTCTCTTTTTTTAATGTTTATTTTTGAGAGAAAGAGCATGAGCAGGGTGGGGCAGAGAAAGGGAGACACACAGAAACAGAAGCAGGCTCCAGGCTCTGAGCTGTCAGCACAGAGCCCAGTGTGGGGCTTGAACCCATGAACTGCAAGAACATGACCTAAGCCAAAGTCAGACACTTAACCGACTGAGCCACCTAGGGAACTTTGTCACCACTATCTAATTATAGAATATTTCACCCCCCCCCACCCCAAAAAGAAATCCTATACCCATTAGTAGTCACTTTCCGTTCCTCCTAACCCTCCCTATCCCATGCCCTGACCCCTGGTAACCATTAACCTACTTTCTGTTTCTGTGGATTTGCCTATTCTGGACATTTCATATAAATGAAATCATACATGTATGATTCTTTGTGACTGACATCTTTCCCTTAGTGATGTTTCAAGGTTCATCTGCATTGTAGCATATATCAATAATACTTTATTTTTATGGCTGAAGAATATTCCATTGTACGGATATAACATTTTGTTTGTTCATTAGTTGGTGGACATTTGGGTTGTTTCCACTTTTTGGCTGTTATGAATAAGTTTACCATAAACATTCATGTACAAGTTTTTATGTGACCAAGGTTCTTTTCAGCTCTATAATAGGATGCTATGAGCATATATATCCCATGAGCTTCTGGGTCCTCATTATCATGAAGGAAGGAATAAGTATTGTTCTAATTTTATAGCTGGGAAAACTTGAGGGACAGAAAGGCACATGACTTGTTTAAGCCTTTTCTAATTCAAGACTTGTTAGGGTTCCTGTGCTTTACTTTCAGATTTCTAAGGCAGTAATTAAGGTCACAGGTTTTAGAGTCAGACAGCCCTGTGGCCAAAGACCAACTCTGCTATTTATGAGTTGGGGAAACATGCGAAAGTTTTTTCACTTTTTTAAACCTTAGTTTCCTTCTTTATAAAATGGAAACAATTATATTATCACTATTACCTGATACTGTTAGGAGGAGCAAATGAGATAATATATGTAATCTCTAACCATGGTGTTTAGCATATTGTAAGTGCTCAATAAATGGTAGCATGGTTTATAATTATCATGTCTTCTTCATGTAGATGGTGTTTCTGTATCTAGTCAAACTTTGATTCTCTAACCTGAGAGAAGAAGAATCTGAAGTGTCCCCAGCATATATTAGTGTTTGAAAATGTTGTGTCTTGCAGTTAAATTTCTATTCAAAAACATTTGAGTAAAAGTGATCTTTCTAGGAATTGAGTCAGATTTGTTCTATGGCATCTTGTATCCCCTAGATACTGCTTCAGATACCCTGGGGATACCTTTATTCCAGTTTATTTGTTCATTTGGACAAAATGCCCTCTAAATTCTCTTCTAGCTTCTAAAATTCTGTGAGACTCATTTTTGTGAAACTCAAGCTGACCTATTTGGAGAAAGTGTAATTCACTTTCTGAGTTAGAAAGTGACACCATGTGGGAATGCAGGCTGGTGCAGCCACTCTGGAAAACAGTAGGGAGGTTCCTCAAAAAACTAAAAATAGAACTACCCTATGACCCAGCAATTGCACTACTAGGTATTTATCTAATGGATACAGGTGTGCTGTTTCGAAGGGACACATGCACCCCCATGTTTATAGCAGCACTATCAACAATAGCCAAAGTATGGAAAGAGCCCAAATGTCCATCGATGGATGAATGGATAAAGAAGATGTGGTATATATATATACAATGGAGTATGCCTTGTCAATCAAAAAGAATGAAATCTTGCCATTTGCAACTACATGGATGGAACTGGAGGGTATTATGCTAAATGAAATTAGAGAAAGACAAAAATCAC